GCCAGCGGCAGTGTCTAGAAATATATAGCTAGAAATATAAAATCACCCCGCTCCTCAACCATGGTTTTCCAAAGTAGGCTCCCTTCTTGGATTATTTTGTGCTCCGTCTGGCTGTTCCGGTTTGCACACACGGGGGAGGCACAGGCTGCAAAAGAAGGTAAGGTGATGCGGAAAACAAAAAGTTTGGGCTTATTTATGGCTTTTGCACACGCAGTCTGTGCGGTGGCTTAGTGGAGGACCTGCCTGCCACTGCGAGCTGCTTTTCAGCCCCCCCCCTTAAAAAAACAAAATAAAGACATTTTTTTAGTCGAGGTGGGAGGCAGGAAAAAGCAAGGCGTTCACTGGGGGTGTGCGTGTGTATGTGTGAGAGACTGGGACAACTGCCTTTGCTCTCAGGAATGAGGTTTGCGAGGCATTTGCACGTGATGAAAAGGCACGGGGCTGGGGAGGCAGCCCCCGGCCCGGGGATCCGTGCAGGGGAGCCTCACTCTCCTGTGCCTGCCTTAATCCTCCCGACGAGGTGCGGGGACGGCGGGTTACCTCGCTACTCCCCGGGCGGGGGCTGCAGGGGTTGGGGGCCGAGTTTCAGGGCTCGGGACGTTTCGGGGGAGGCACGGCACGGCGTGGGGCTGAGGCTGCGGGGCAGCTCCGCGCTGCTGCCCGGCGGGGGCCTGCAGCGCTCCGGCCCCGCGGGGCCGTGCACGGACCGTGGGAAGGAGCATCGGGGTGCAGTTTTGCACCTCCCGGCCATGTAGGCTAGGCATGCATTTAAAGGGTACATACAGCTTGGCGTCGTGTCTCTGCAACGTGTGTCCTCTCCTCCGGCATCGCTGGAGAGAGGGAGAGGTTTAGGGATGGATGTTTTACACCATCTGCATATCACAACGGGGCTTCCCGATTCCCATCAATCCAACAACGGTATCTGTGTAAGGCGAACCCCGGACATTTGTTTCCCCCGCGCACGGAGAGAAAACAGGCAGTTTTATATCAGGGATTGATGGAGGTGTATAAAATAAATTCACAAACTCCATCTGGGAGTCTCTTTCCTCACGCTGAGAAAATCCGAAATGATTTAAAGGAGCGCCCTGCTCGCGTTTGACAGTCAAAGGCGAAGGTCCGTCTCCATCTTCGAGGGTGGGGGACGACAGGGAAGGGAGAGTCAGGGGCTTTTTCGGTGTCTCCTCATATGTATGCGTTTGGGGGTTTTCCTCCCTCAGCTGGATACGTCAGTATTTTTCATCAAGCCGTTGGCACGCAGTAAAATACCATTTCGAGCCTGTAACCGGAGCTTAAAAAAATCCCTCAATTAAAATGTCCTCTGCCCTTCATAGAAAGCGGCGATGGCGAGGTTGGAGAGGGTAACGAAAGAGGAGAGAGCCTGTCCTTAGCAGCATGTCGAAAGTTTATTTGGAGGGGCTGTAAAGCACAGAGACCCCCACACGGGGATTACTAACGCGTGGCCGTGGGGCGGGGAGCGGAGAAGAGCCGGGCAGGCAGGCAGGGAGGCAGGCAGGGAGGGTGCGGGCTGCCTGCCCCGCTCTGCCCTGCGGATTGCGCCGCGATCGGGGCTGCGCCGGTGCCTCCCGACGGTAGTCTGCCTCGTGTTTGTGTGTGAAATACGTGTATGGATGTGTATATATATATGCATCTATACATGTAAGTGTATGTGGATAACGTGTGTATGTTTAGGGAAAATCAACCAAGCTAAAGGAGGGTCAGGAGGGGGCGAGCGGCAGACAGGGATTGATAGCGGCTACCTGCTGCAAGCGCAGAAAACTCCCGCGGAAGAAAGAGCGGGGGGGGAGGGGGGAGGGGGGGCGAAGTAACTTTGCAGCTTCACTCCCGGCCCCGCCGAAAGGCCGGTGGCGGCGGCAGCCCCGCGGGGGTTCCCACCCCTCCCCCCCGGGGGCGGGAAAAGGGGG